CTTCTTTTCGTTTACAATCATCTTCACTAACATTAAGCCTACATATAAGATTTCACAGTCTTCATCTGCTGTCAAATCCTGTGTTTTTTTTATATGCTGATTAAATAATAATTTTATAAAATAGAACATTAATTTTGGATCTTCAACTTGTGATTCTTGCACAACAGATACATTAGCTAAACTTGATAGAAGTTTCACAGCTGCTAATTTTTCTTCCATCTTTTCCATTGTATCTTCCACAGCTTCTAACATATTTTGAGCTCCCGTTTGATCTACTTTTATGGAATTTGATAGAAATTGTAATAAATAGGAAAACAGTTTAGTTGATAGATTTCTTGTAGTAAACGTCAAGTCAAATAAAGTGTCTGCAAATTCTTCATATTTGCAAGTCCTATCTAATCCAAGAATTTCAATTCCACCTGCTGGTCCAAACTTTGATTTCAAATAATTTCCAAATTTATTAGTTACATTGTGTCCAAGAAATGTGGCAAAAAGTTCAGTTCTTAATGGTTGTTCATATAAAAGCAGTAGTACAAGTTGTTTGAGTTTAGCTTTTAGTACATAAGCACTTTGTCTAACAGTGTTATATAATGAAAATAAAGGAACAGCTACATTCATTAAAAGTTCAGAAGGCAATTGTTTAAATTTACTTTCCATGGTGACAAAGCATCTTGTTAAATTTTCAATACATTTTTCCACTTCTTCCTCGCTTTTCACCTTCTCTTCATTTTCTGAATTTACTAGTAATGGATCGCATATTACTTTTACAATATTTTCATAGCAAACAATCGGATTGTAGTGGTGAAATATAGTAATGCAGTAGCTTGCTATTGTTGCCGAATGCATAATCTGGGTTGAACTTAAAAGATCCAGTAACTGAAAAAAATATAGTTTATCCTAAAATTATCAAGTATTCAAAAGGAAATAAATATGAATCGTTAATGCAAAAATAATTTGTAAAATGTACTTGTGAGCATATGGATTTATAATATTCATTAGGATTAATTCCATGTGATGTAGCTATTAATCGGGAAATAGTATCCAATTTATTCCAATGTTGTCCATAATCCAATGGGTTTTCACAAACAATAGTTAAGATTGAAATAATTCCATTAGGTTGCATTAGTTGTTGTACTAAATATTTGCGGGTTTCACGTTGGAGCCATCTTGGTACTCCTTTAATGCCAAGAATTACCATCATTTCTCTCATGCATATAGATGAGGGACAGTTATTTAATAACTTATGAAACAAAGATATAAAGTGTTCTTGATCTCTTTTTAATTTATCATATATATCTTTAGTCATTATAAATTTAACCTTGCTTTCATTTTCTTCTTGAGTCGATATAGTGTTTTCAAGTGGTTTTATCAATGGGGCATAGGATAATTGTAAAAGTGCAGCGATTAAGGATCCTATTTGAGCAAGTATTGGAGGACGAAACATAATATCATCGTATAATTCCATCATAGAATTAACTGCAAATTTTAATCTCTTATATTTCTGAAATAAAGGAAATATTTTTAATTTTCCCAATTAATGTTTTTTAATGCAATAACTATAATTCATACTTGGAAATCTGATATATCTTCCTTCCAGACCACTATAGCTCTGGGACATAATTTAGCCATGTCAACTCCGACACCAGGTAAAAGACAAGATATAATTCCTATGGCAGTTATCACTTCTATACAAATTTTTAAAGTACGAAATTGCTTAACACTAAGTAAAGATCTATCGTTTGTGGAATTATTCTTCTTTATATTTTGTAAAACATATATGATGATATATATGTACCGATACCTAAAAACACATTAGAAATTTTGAGACATCTTTGCATTTAATTTTAAATAATTTTATATAACTTTATATAATTTTAATGTGTTAGCCATCACATGTCACATGCCATTTTATAATGCATTGCACTTTATTAATATATTTTTAAATGCTTGAGATGCCAGAGATACTTGTTTATCATTAATATAAAATGATTTTGAGCATTGTTTTTTTTTTTTATTTGATTGAAAAAAGAATAACAAAATTGCTTTTTATACTGTCAATTTATATCATGGCATGTGCAATCGAAAAAATTGAAATTCAGATATAGCTGCCAACATACTAAATTTAAGAGTTATAAAAAATGCTGATATTACCTAATATCATCAGGTTCATTTTCATCTTCAATACTGTTAATTACAAGGTTTACATCATTTTTCACTAAAACTACTTGTATTTTTTGCAAAACCTTCTGCAACTTTTCATCAAATTCAGCCTTTCCGACAACTTAAAAAATTATAAAACTCCCATTAACAATTTTTAATGATTATAAAATTTACTCATTTTAATATATAAAAAATATCATCATACCACTTTCACTTTTATTAAATGTTATTAAATGATGCAGTATTTCATGATAATCCATGTTTTTGTTTATTTAATCAAAAAACTAAACTATTACCTCAAAATATAAATATAATAGGTACATATCAAAGAGTAAGAATTGCGATCACGATCAGATGAACTGGTCTCGACACAAATATACCGAAAGTGTAGAAGAAACCGTTCGAAAATTGAATTGCGAAAAATCAACATGGAAGACAACAAGGTTTTCGTTCTGCGCATACGTGACAATGTCTCAGACAGAGATAGAGACGTTCTATTCATCTTTATCTATCTTACAAGGAAAAGGATTTTGCTATCTTGAACGTAGGAATATATTCCTACAGCCTCTCTGGTTTTTGAATATAATAATTGAAGCCAACTTCACACAATCATACTAAAAACAAGTTCTGATGACAGCGTAACATGATTTTATCATATATATATAATATATTAAAATTTAAAAAGTGGGAGCTGTTATCTCTTCTAACAATTTTAATAGCATTAAAGTGGTCCACAATTATTACATTTCGACCGGACATACATCGTTTAACAGAATTACATAAATGTCCAGCATGTTTTGGTATTTCTGCATGCAATTATATTCATGAAATAGATATCGCATTTCATGATTTTTATTCCGTGTTTGCATATTTTTTTGGAGTAAAAAATGTATTTTTTGGATCCTTTAATAATAGCAGAGTTGTTCTGAAGAAGTTAGCACAAAATTCGGAATTAGATGAATTTGATCGAATGCTTTGCGAAAACAAAAGAATTTCTCACATTTGTATAAAAAATGCAAAAGAAATAGATCATAAAGTTGAAGTCAATTTCCATGAACTTATCAAAAAAGAAGTTCATGTGAATTCTACGACAGATAACTTCAATCATTTAAAACTTTGTCCTACTGTTCAACATTTAAATGATCTCTTAAGTAATGTATATCGTAATGAGAAAAATATCGATAGAAAAATACTTCATATTAATATTTGGGTATTAACAGTTCTTAATCCTGAGCCTCTCCTTCTTCAGGTACATATATACTTGTTTATGTCAAATTATTTAAATATAAATTCACAAAATTTACTTACATTAACTAAACTAATCAAAAAATGTATTATTTGTATATTATATTATTTTTCATATATAGGGATTTCTACATAAGCTTTTATCAGCAAAGACAATTGAAACATACAGCTTTATATAGTTATAAAATGCTTTGATAAAATGGACTGAAATATCTTTGTTTATAGATATTATCTACAAATAAGGATTGGCCAGTACCAAGATATTTTGGTACCTGTGGTCGCATTTTAATCGAGGAATATGTTGGGATGCCGTTAACTGCTTATTATAATGAACCATGGTTACGTAGGGCTAAATTAGCTTCGAGTCTTCTAGATGCTGCTTATAAATTTACTTACAAAGATGATAATTTTGGCTTCTATTTAACTGATATATCTGCTGATAATATAGCAGTTGATTCAATTGATAATGTAAAATTTGTAGATCTAGAAAATGTCATTATTGTTGACAGAAACATTGCTGCTACAGGTAATCTAAAAATAATTGAAAAAAATAATTGAAATTTATTAGAAAAAGAATAAAGCGCAGAGGAACACTCATATCCCAGTTAATTATTTAAGAATTTTATATACTTCTTAGAGAGATCAACTACATGGAGTCAATTACAAGTAAATACTGAGAATTTTAGCTGCTCAGAATGTCTGGCATTTTCTGGTATTGATATATGTAGTCATAAAGTTAGTGATCACAATTACTATGCAATATGCAAGGTTGGTTCTTATTATTTGTGAACATAATATGTATACTAACTTATTATTTATATAAATATATTATGACAAAATGAAAATGAACTAAGCAAATTCATTTAAATTTAAGTCAACATCATTTTCGATAGAAAGATTATTTATATAAAATATTTTACATTTATAGATATTATTAGCAATAAATATTAATAACAGTATACTACCTGGTGGTTTACTACACGATATACCGGCAGATATATTAAAAAATTATCCAGATGTACAACATTTAATACAACAATGTGTATATCCCCAAACACTACTCAGTAGAATAGATGCTGGAATGCAACTTAAAAAACTGTTAGATTTTATAATACAAAACCAAATATAAGAATTAAATAAGAATTAAATAAAATTATGCAATTAATTGAAATCAATTGTTAAAATAAATTTTTATGTAGCAATTAATATCACAATTAACTGAGATAAATCAGTGTCATCCTATCGATTTTCAGAACATGTTATTATTTGCAAAAATATCTTTATTTTAATAAATAAAACAGTTGTACACAAAATACAATAAATAAGCTCTAATATAATCTACATTTTTATGCTCCCTTTATGAAAATCAAATTATGATAATGTTCAATATATTTATAAATATTTTATTTCGATGTGTATAAAATGAAACATAAATAAACGCATTTGTTATTTTCTTATCAAACAATATTTTTATGTGCTACATATCTAAAAAATGCACAGTTATATTCGTACAAAAGCACTCTCTTTATTATTTTATCATGGAGTTTTAAAAAGTAATGCTATATGCTTTTTTTCTAAAAAAAATACTCGCTATCTTTCAGTCTAATAATACAAAGGTTTATATATCTTGCAACGATGTACTATGTTTAACCATCTGTTCTTCTAATATTAATATCCTTTCCTGTAATTTTTGTATTACATCGTCTTTTTTAGCAATGTCAATCTTTAAACGCGCTATCATCATATCTTTATCTTCGTTTAAGTCTTGTAACAATTGATTCGTTGATGGCCGATTCTCGGGCTCATCTTGAACTAATTGACTTACTATATGCGCCTAATAAACATTGATTACCTTTACCTTCAATTAGTATTTTATTAAAATATCATCTTGTTTTAAATATACATACCCACTTAAGATGAGTAGCAGCTAATGTTGTTGGTATATGTCCCATTTTCAAACTATTAATTATTTCAATTCTTTCCATCTGAGTTCTTGTATGCACTATCAGCTCTAAAAGTACTATTCCTAAACTATATATGTCACTCTGGAAGGAGAAATGTTGCTTTATAATATCTTTAAAAATTATTATCTATTAAAAGAAAAAACAATACTTTAGGATCACATTTTCCTTGTAGTTGCTCTGGCGCTGCATACATTTGTGTTCCTATTATGGAATGGTGATTTTCACTTCGTAATGGACAAGCTAATCCAAAATCTCCTAACTGTATTTGTAGCTGCCCTGACGTTGAAATAAATATATTGCTTGGCTGAAGTTGTGTAAAAAATTACATATATTTTTAAACAATAAAGCGAAAGCTCTTTAGGTATTTTATTTGAATCATAATCTTTTCATTTTCTTGCTTTACCTTTATGTCATGATGCACAATTCCACGAGAATGTATGTAGTCTAAACCATGAAGAGTTTGTGTTAATATTGCAATGAGCATTTCTTGTGGCGTTACCTCTATCCTTTCGTCAAGCCACTGTTGAAGTGTTTTTTCACAAAGAGCCATTTGAATATACAATGTTGTATATTTATTCTTTAACATCATATATAAATTAGATATATATATATATATTAGATATATATAGTAATACATATATACATACTGTTTGAGGTATATATGGTAAAAGCATCTTATTTTTACTGGATTCTTCATATGAATTACTGCCATCAGTATAATTTGTATTATTTTCTGTTTTATTATTTTGATGTTCGCTATCGTTCCTAAAAGATATACTGTTTGAATTAGTTCTCTCCTCATCCTTCTTAACATTTTCTTCTATAACAAGAGATGAATTCAATTTATAGGATCTTAATATCATGGTTAATCACAAATTATTTGATATAATTATATGTACCAGAGTTATAATTTGTCCATTTACTATGTTGTGACAACATGTCCTGTTTGTCATTTTCTTTCGGACTTTCACTACTCCCAGTATCCAAACTTTGTTGACTTCGTGAACTGGCAGTCTGATTTATCCACGATCTATATTCATTTGTTTTGTTATGTTCAATAGAACCTAATTTGCTTTGCAAATGACTTAAGGATACTAAATGCTGCCTTGAAGGCAACATTGGTTCAATCCATGCACCTTTATATGAAACTATATTGGTATGATTTAATTTTGCAAGAGTTTTCACTTCTTCAAGATGCTGCATTATATTCTTAACTCGATCAGAACGAACTGTTATCTTCTTAATGGCATATTCAATACCATCAAGACGATGTAAAGCTTTAAAAACATAACCAAATCCTCCAGCAGCAATAAAACTTATTTCTTGAAACTCTCTATGATACCGGGACCATTCTGTCATTGATGGTCTACATAAACTAAATTTGTATGAATTAAATATAATATAGCTTCTTTGTAATTGTACTTTGGAAAACACGGTATTAAATTTTACCTTGAAATCTGAAGTGAATTTTCACAACCGGCTGCTGCACGCGTAACTGTAAACAAGTGATACAGTGCTTGTTGATATTGATTTCTTAATGGTTCGAATTCCATCATATTGTAGGAATCATCAATTAGTTCCAATTTGTGAAGTCTATCACAAATAGCTAAAAACAATCATAGAAATTATTTCACAATCTATCTAAAAATTTATTAAGACACTAAAGAATTTAAAAATTGTTGAAATTTGAAATAAAAATGTGTTATAGAACATAATTCCTTAATTGAAATGTTTTAAACAATGGAAATTACTTTTTTAAATACTATTTGATAATTACTTTTGATAAAAAATAAAATTTTTAATATACTGCATGGTTAAGTAACTGAATTATTGACAAGAAGCTCTTGCTTATTTTAAAATTGTTATATTTAATTTTTAAATTGTACAAATACAAGAATTTTTCATACTAACAAAAAGATATAAAAATTAGTTGTTATAAAGAATATAAATATATTACCAAAATACAATTTATTTCTGCATACTGAATCATCTTCAAATAGTATACACAATTGCTGTATGAGTGATTCTATTAAAAGACTAGTAGAAGTTCTAACTATGCTCACAATTTGCCTATTGTTCAGATTACTTTCATTGTCCAAACATAGTGTTGGATTTGCATTGTTACCTAAAAAGTAAAAACGATATAACAAAATATCAGTCAGAGACTACTTAAAGTAATTGAAATTTTGTAATTATTATTCCAGATAATGACCGATTTACTACCTAAAAATTAATTTTTGTACTATTATTGTTTTTAATTGAAACAATACATTTTTTTACGAAAATTAGTAAATTATCGATTAAATAAATGCAGATGACAATATAAAAAGACTAAAATTATAGTTATTAGAACTGTTACTACGAATACATTTAAAAAACGCGCGGGAGTTTAAGGTTATATTATTTACCTCTGTCAAATGTAGTTGCGCTGGATAGTGTATCCCAAAGATTAGTTGGAGGTGAGTTATTATCAACCATTTTTGAACTTATTACATTTTTACATCAATACTTGTATTATTGTAAATCCATGTACACTATCGTAGGAATAAGGTACTCTCGTGGTCACTGATTGCACTATTCGCCAACAAGATTGCCACCCTGAAATCTTAGGTATAAACCAAAGGATACTAAAAAAAAAAAAGTCAGAAAAATGTCAAACGGACGTTGTGCAGTGCGATCTTGTTTCTGTAATCAACAATGCTATTGTATTACGTCGGTAAATCTATGCATCCTTTGTATGATTAGCTAGCTTAAATACCTTAGTAAATTGGTAGCATTCGCCATGAAACGTCGCGTCGTGGAAAATCGCAGAGATATCATGGGATGTGTGTGTTTTGTTTTTAATTAATTTTAAGATAAATATATCTAGGCTTAGTTCATAATGTGTACTTTTTATACAAAGATGCATTGTCTGACTTGGAACAAGTGGTTTTAAGTCCTAGTTTTAAGGCTTAGTCTTAAGCTCTACTTTTAAGTCTTAGCTTTAAGTTTCGTCGTTAGTTTTAAGCGTTATTGTCAAGTTTTAATTTGAAATCACATCGTTTGTTTAGTTTTAGCATATTTGTGAAGATCGATGTATTTGATTGGTATTTTTCTACAGAAGCAAGATTTTGGCGACCTTTTTGCTTTTTTTATTGATTCTTTGTGAGTTTGTGAGTCAGACTACCTATGTTTGGTAATATATAATTAATAATTGATTTGAGAATAGAAAGATGAAAATAGAAAAGATTAAAAAATTCACATTTTTATGTGTCAGATACATGAAATTACAGCTTTAAGTTTTGAAACTAATTAAACGAATCATTTAAGTAATTCATTATTTTGACAGTATGCAATACTTTCTAAAGTATTATAGTGGTATAGGATTCTATACTTTATTGCGATTACAGGATATCTCATTCTATATTTCATTTATTATTTTCATATATATAAACTTTATTTAGTTTTAATTCAAACCGGCACTATGTACTGAATCGATAACGCCGTATGTGGCACGAAAATGGTAAAAGGGTCAGATGAGCCTCAAAACATGAGGCACGAAAAAGCACTACATGTCACGTTTATTCTGTACTTTGTCTGCGCTCAGGCCAAATCAGTAGGTAAATCGTCGATAGATATTTATTTATCTGTTATATTTATATATATATTTTTATATTTATATATTCATATATCTATTTATGTACTTATTTATTTATAAATTTTTAGTTTTTATATAAACATATTTTTATTCCATTATTATAAATTTGTTCTTATTCTTTATTTTTGCGAATAAAAGTCTACATATCCCTTACTGGAGAAACATTTAAATCAAGTGTAATATAAAAATGTCACCTTTGCGTTCAGAAGTATATTCTTTTCAAGAAATATTTACTATTAATAGAATATTTTTGTTATACGTATGGTAATAATCTCTTGCAACATTAAGTTTTTTAGTTATATTTTCTTATTTCTATTCCATTCAAGTTCATTATTAAATTTATAATATTTTATCTTTCTTAATTTAAAAAATATATAACATTTCGTTTTATAGCTTTGTCTGGATTTATCATAATTGTTTTAGTAATAGAAAAATAACTAGCTAGAGAATGTTAATTATATTTCAAAGAAACCGAAACCTCTTGCGTTTGCGCAGAACGATGTCCGATGTTGTCACCATATTAATCTTTTGTCATCACTCGGCGGACGCTCGCCTCTATGTTTTAGTATAGGAGTGTTCAGGCCAATGTTATGTATATGACATATATACATGTATATAGTTATCATAAATATATATCATGACATATATCATGTATATAGTTAACATAAACTTAATTAATTGAAACTAGCAATAGACGTTTCAATATCGGTTACTGCTTATAAAACGGAAAATGAATATCTATAGATTGAAAGTCAATTTTAATCTTATAGGGATAATTGCAATATGAATAAATAATTTTTATAATTTTAATAAACAATAAAAAATATTGTATATAATTTTACAGTAATAAATATAGAATACATTATAAATACAGAATACAGAATCACATTAATAAACTAAATAAATTACTAAAACAAGCCTTTTTCGAAATACATAGTAGAAAATCGCTATATTAACCATTGTTTTGTTGCTTTGATCTGTATGCTGGTAGGTTCTTTTTAAATAGAACCCATTTTTTTTGTAAAAAAAACATTTTGATTGTAAAAGACAATAACTCACTAATCAATTATAATTACTTATAAGTTAAAAAAATGACATTTCTTACAAAACGTATTTTATAACTAATTAGTAATGAATTATTTATATAACAAATCGTATCTGTTCATTTTTTTTAAAAAAACATCTAACATATGATGTTAATGGTTAAGTAAGATACAAGTTAGATTCATAGGTACATTCGTAAAATCAAGCAAAGATATCTCAATTATTGAATAAATGACAATATAACCGATACGAATAATCTAATTCAATATGTTCGATAAAATAGAATGAAAAATAACTTTTTTTATCGATTATATTTTATTAATCGCATACTAAGCAAACAAAAAATGTATAGTATCATGCTATTTTCACCTAGATATAGCACGTAACTTTGAGATTATGTAATGTGAGAAAGAGTTGAATACGGAAGAGAAAGCTAGACAATGTCATGTTGGTATCCATACGACCTTGAAATGTAATATAGCGCGTAGTGCAGTTGGTGGCATACATTGTTGCACGTGGTGGAGTCATTGACTTTAGAAATACTTTCCACTTTCTACTTAATATGTCCTTGCTGATTTGACCTCCTTTGATCTCTTATCCCTTCTTTTCCCTACATCTTATACGTTGACTGAAATATCAAGCATATAGAATTCTATAAATTAATTAATTAATCATAGATTAATTTTCATAAACAATTTTAGATTGTATAATGAAATAAAACAGATCTTATAGTTGATATGTATTCTTATTTTGATGAATCAATAGTTATAAAGATTGGCAAATTTTTTTTCGTAACACTTATTTATAAATAAATAGACTACGGATGGTTATGCGTATTCATGTTTTTATAAATACAAGTAAAGAACTTAGAGTTTCACTCTTTAAATATTATAACTAATACTGCATTTTGGATATGCTTATATTTTTGAATATTATGTTCATTTTTTATATTTTTGTATATTTAAATTTTCTATAAATGTATAAACACGTTCAGTAAAAACTCTAAGTTTAGAGAAGTGACACTAATCATCTATGATGATATCAATAAATGCTTACACAATTCTTTTGGATAACACAATAAAAAATAATAAACAAATAAAACAAACTAGGTTTGACAATCAAACATGTGAAATTTTATAAGTAAGTTTTACAAATTTGTGTAAAAGGAAATCCATAATCTAAAATTCCTAATTTATCAATTCACTAATATCGTTAGTTTGTAAATTATTGCGCGATTTTGATAACAAATATTTGAATGAACAATTTCTATTTAAATATCAACTGTTAATATATATTTATTCGAAATATAACCATATTCATAAGAATATTTCGAAATAAGAAACACGAAAAATACCAAACCGGTTATTCTAATCGGTTGATCTATAATAAATACAATGATCAAAAAGAAATGTCTAACTCCTTTTACGATTGTTGTCGAAATTAAGCTCCATCACTATACTGATACAAAATAAATATAAGAATATGTCTTGATAAAATTGATTTAGAATATATGATTAGAATATATAATTTTGTGTCACTCATTTTGAGTTATCGTATCAATTAAAACTAAGCATTGGTCAATAAACACAGTTAGTACATTTTTTAAAGCTTTACTTTCCTTCCATAAATGTATATATAAACATACAGTATTCGACAAAAGTATTGGCACAGATTAGGTTTTCCTAAAATTAATAAAATTCTTTACCAAAATCTCTTGTAAAATATAATTCTAATCTAGATGTTAAGTATATTGTAATTCGTTATTGGTAAGTATCTGGTAAGTATAATGAAAATTAATAATAGAATAAAAACACTATAGACTGTTTTTAACGAAACATAAGATTTTAATTACTATAAAATCGATACAAAAATTAATTTTTTTAGATACCGATCTAGGAATTAAGATACCGTCAAAAATATAATAGCTTCGGAAATTTTGATTTCTTATACTATAGGTTAGTTCTAAATAAGGATTAAAATTGATATTTTCGATATTTACTTATGATATATTTAATCTTTAAATTCGAAAGTTATATTACAGAAAGAAGTTAAATAAAAAATTATGAATTTTTATAAATTTATAAAAAAAAATGTCCTATACCCATATTTTGTATATATCTATCTAGCGTATTATAGTTAGAAACATTTGATATTTTCTAAACATTTATGAGAAATTTGCAAAAATATATGAAATATTCAAAGTATAGTACTCGCACTAGTATAATATTTAACAGGTAAAAGAATCTCTATGTAGATTTCATATTTTTAACTATGTTTATAAAAATATAAAATTACATAAACATTTTGATGGTTAAAAATGAATACTAAACTTAAACTTGAAATATTCCAAGTAATGAAAAAAATATACAGGTATCTAATCCGAAATAAAAGGTGTAGTATTGCGCTGTAGTTACAGATTAATTAGGAGTGCGATAAATTTTAAAATTGTACCCCTGTAAAACCCAAAATATGCAACTTATTATCTTCAATTAAGATGTTTTATTGATCTCGTCTGTATACAATGGATTGATATGTCGACTTTCGTCTCAACTTTTCAATCTACAGAACGGTGAAAGACCGGGAAGACGCGGTGGTCAATAAAAAAACAAATGAACCAGGTTATGTTTTCTCTTCCCTTTGCCATTTTGGTTTCACCACGATCGCGAGTCATTTCTAAGGTCGCCGCTGGCATAGCTTAAAACAAGTCGCGTTAAGATTGGTCAAGGTACGACATCGCTCTAGAGTTGATTGCTACCTCGACCGTAACCCCACTACTCTTGCCTCCCTACCCTCGAGATTTCTATTTGGTCCATAGCCCCACCAACCATCGCCCGACCTCTTGTACCTTCGACGCGACGTCTCGGAACTGGAATCCTTGTCGATCTCGCCGCGACCCCGACACTGCGTATGTTTAAGCCACGTAAGTCGTGTTGACCCACGTGCCTCCACAGGATCGTACATTGCACTAATGGCACCTTATGCTCTTAATTTGATATGTTATTGTTATACATATCGTGAAAATAATTATTTATTTTTTTCTACCAAAAAAACCTTTTATCAAAGA